CCACTGCTCCCTGGGAAGCACCGTGGTGTGATCCAGGGCAGCCTTGGTGACCAGCAAAGCTCAGGATTCACTGCAAACTCTTGTTCAAAAGTGTTTCCACGTGACTTAGACTTTGTCCCAAGAGGTTTAACTAGAGCCCTGGAATATGAATAGCAGCTGGGAGAAGGAAGAACTAGAACATTCCTTATTTAGGTAATTTCCTAACAACTCCCCAGTTCCCTAAAAATAGTGCAGGATAAAATGCTCCACCACCCCAGACCAGAGCTGAGCTGGGAAATGGGAGTTGCTGGACAATCTAACGCTCACTCTATTGTGTCTCACTCTGACACTAACACCAGGAAAGCATCTCCTATTTTTAGCTTGAAGCTGGAGCTGTTGAAGTGTCTTAACATTCCTGGATATGTAGATATCCATTACTTTGAGTCAAACGTGCACACCAATACCTCAAATAGCAGTGAAAAATCTCCACCTCCTTCTAGATCAGCATGTAATACACAGTTGGGAGGAAAGTAAAAAGTACAAATCTAAAAAGATTTAATCAATATATAGCATAAAGGAGTCTGTGCTTAACTCCTTTTGCCAAATTTTCCAGGTAACTCACACTGTGTGTGAGTGTCTGTTGGAGGCTGAATCTGCTCCAAGAACTCTGTTTACTTTCTCTGATCTTTTCCCATTCACTTCCTGCCCAGTGCTTAAGGCAATTCCTTCCTGATGGAGGATCTTCCCCAGCTTTGTGTAGGGCTCTGCCTCCAGTGTCACCATTCCATCCTCTCTCAAGTGACATCATCTAGCTCTCTCTTGACACCACCAGAAGTGCTGCAGTATCTGGATGTTGTTTGCTTTTCATTCTAAGCATCACGTTGCAGTAGCAGTGCTGGAGTGTCTGTGCCTACCCCAGGAGCAGCATTTGGTGGGCAAACACTGCACAGGGAACATTGTCCACCAACAGGTTCATTCAGTCTGCAGACTAGGACCTTTGTCCTCTTGCTTTTCATGTGCACTAGGGGCAATGAGGCATATTCGTTAGGCACCAAGAATAACTGGTGATCAGAAAGCTGCAGGAAAGAAAAGAGTATCTGATCTGAGGGAGAAAAGTATTAAAGGCCAAGAAGAGAAAGTGAAATTTGAGCTGTTTGTGTAACCACAACCTTTTCATGCAGCTGTGAAAGGACAGGCCTGGTCTTGGTGGGGTAAGGTCACCTCAATGAGAGGGAAAGATGACAAACCAGGGAGCAGAAGAACTGTATTGGGGTTGAATGTGGTTTTATCACGAGCTTCAGTTCCTTGTAGTGTCAGCTTGGATAAGGAAAGAAACCAAGGAAGGCTCTGATGCTGTCAGCATAATGCTCAGCCCTGTAAGAAGTGCTTTCTCGTGGAGAAAAGTACACCTCTCTGGGTAATGCTTAGGGCTCTGCAGATTTGGGTGCTAATCTGATTTGTTTAGCAGAAGGAAGAGCAGTATTTAATCTCATGATTCAGCATAAGAAATGTGGGTCAACAAATATTTTGGTTTTTCCCTTTGCAGATCAGGAACTACACACAGTGCCCCAAGCAGTCAGCTCAGGAGTGCTGAGGGATGCAGTGGCTTTTGATGGCAGCCCAGGGTGTGCTCCAGTCTGAGCTAGGCCCTTTGCTTCTCCTGCCCCTGGCTGCAGCTGGTTGTACCTTAGGCACACAGGGTCTGTGTGTGCACTGACTCACTTGGCCTTAGGTTCTTGGACAGACAAAATGGCTTTGGTTACCACCACACCTGCAGCACCTTCCTTACCAGAGCTCATCCAGCTACACATTGGTATTTCAGGTTTAAACCACACATGCCCCAGCAAAACACCCATTTTCATGCTCCAGCTCTACTTCCTCACTTGATTTTGAAGATTCAAGTGGTACCTAATTAATCCTCATTTTTCAGTTGCTTAAAACCTTTGTGTATGGTGCATCTTTGGTGCTTCAGGAGCCTGTGAATGCATTTGCCTTTTCCATTGACTACAAAGACCAATATCTTTTGCAGATTTCAAATATTTATTTTGCTAGCTGTGGCTCATCCTGTTTTACAGGAGCTTTTAAAGAGCATGTAAGGTTCCTGTTTGTTAAAAACACCCACTTTCAGCCAAACCTGAGATCCCTTCCTGGGCAGAGCATCCGTTTCATCTGGTATTTGCAGTGGTGCCACTGAGATCACTGTGCTTGTTCCTCCCCTGTGCAGCACCAAGGCAGTCACTGGGTCTTGGAGTGGGTGGCTGTAGTGCCAAGAGATGCTGCTTTGGCTCCTGCTGTGCCTGTGCCCCTGCAACACTGTCCACAGCTGGTGCCAGTGCTGGAGGCCACATGAGGAAACACTGTGCCTTGTTCCAGTGGCTCAGCTGTACCTGAGTCAGTGTAGGGTTTCTGCTTCAGCTCACGTTGTCTGTCTCCATTACATCCAAGCTGGGAATGTTTCTGCTCACTGTGTTTGGCTTGTCCTGTGCTCCCTGGAACAGATAAACTGTGCTGTGTTGTCTTGCTCGGGTGGGACTGACACCCTGCAAGGGTTGTGTTCTGAGTTTCTCCTCGTGGCAATGTGGGTTAAGCTCTATAAGCAACAAGTTTTTTGGCAACAAGAGGTTCAAGTAAGAAAAGTGATGTCTTTTATATGCCATTCCTGTCTTAACTCGTGGTTTGACCCTCTCCCATGTCTCTTCTTGGGTCTCCAGGTCCCCTTGTCAGGCTGATAAGGCACAAGGAAGTACATCCTTGCTTGAAATCCAGTTTCCAAGTCAGGGTAAACTGCAGGATATTGTGTCAAATTCCTCTGGCAGCAGGAAAGGTAAATTAGCCTCTGCTCTGAAAGGACAGTAAGGACTGGATGTGCAGTTCCTTCACACCTGAAAGACTCTTTACCTGTTAGAAATGGGGGATGTGTGGGGTAAATGAAGGCTGAAGGGGCCAGGGTCAGATGTGAGAGGCTGAGCACAGCCTGCTCAGTGTGATGCAGGGTGGGCTGACAGGCTGGGCTGGAGACTCTGGAGGAAAATAAAGGTCAGCTGGGTCAGCCTGTGTGGGTTGGAAAGGGCTGTCAGACCTGATGAAGGAGGCTTTATCTTGATTCTTCTGTAAATAATTGTTCTGCCTTCAGTTTACTGCTGTTTGCCCAGATACTGCTCCAAAGGTTCAGCCTAAGGACGTGCCCTCCTGGTCTGAGTCCTGCACATAGGCAGCTCTGGGGTAGAGGCTTACTGTGAAGGATATGCACTTGAAGCCACAGGCCTGGGCAATGCCTTTAACTCTGCATAGCAGGATTTAGATCCATATTTAGATCCAGGAACACTTTGAATATCATGCTGATACCATCAGTTAGTAAACAATGGCTTTTTTTCCTTTGGAATTTCCCATTGGAGGAGTTCTGATTTGTGGATCAGTTTTAGCTTCCTTTGTCCATGCCTGGTCACTCCCATCCCTGGGTATGAGCTGCTACTGCTCCAGCACAGCCTGGAGCAGGAGCTGAAACGCAGGAGTGAGAGGAGCAGAGGCTGAGGCAGGGGAAGGGATGGGGAGAGGCAATGCAAGAGATGAAGCTGAATAAGTTTAGCAGAACTGTGGGGAGAAGCAAGCTCTGATGTGTGGGTCAGTAAGGGTCAGTGTTTTTACCTCCTGCCAGTCCTGCCTTCCCTGCCATAGAGAGGCTCCCAGAAATAATGGGCCACAAGGTGAGAGTGGGTATGGAGGGCACTGCTAAAATCTGCCATCCTTGCTCAGGGAACAGGTGGGGTGAAATTCCTGCCTGGTGTGAGGCAAGGCAAATAACAAACCCAGTGATGTGTGACAAACTCCTGACCTAGACGACTTCTTTTTCTTTCCTAAGCCCTAATCTTACCTCCAGTGTAATCTGAGCTCACAAGCAAATCACACCATTAGGCACCCGATAGAGTTTGTCATTAGTATTTGTCTGTTCCCAAACCCAGATGCTGCTGAGCAGCATTGAGAGCCCTCAAACAGCAAGCAGTGCAGAGTGTAGGTTGTCTGAGATGGGGAACCTTGTGCAGGGCTATTTAGAGAGGTGAAGCAGCATTGTTTGCACTGTCGGAGGCTCACGGTCTTCGCTGGCCCGTGCTGGGATTTTTATGAGAGAGCTGTGATCCGAGGCAGGGCTGGAGGTGAGGAAGGATGCTACACTTGGCAGCTCTGTTTCAGCAGTACATGGTCCTGAGCAGGTGACAGCCCTTTAGTCACCTCCCCCGGGGTCAGATGAGGACTCACACACAGGAACAGATGCACAGAGTCCTCCAGTGTCCCACACATCCCACTGGTGCAGACTGGGCAGGAGTGAGCACCTCCTGCCAACCTCCCTGACTGTGCAGGGGCATCTCTGCAGTGCAACACGGCAGGGTGGCAGAACTCTCTTTTCTCACAGCAGCAGTTCTGAAATATTTAATTTCGTATCTCACTTGGGCTCTTTTCCTTTCACACCACAAACTGTTGCAACGGAGTAACCTAAAGGTGAAATCTTGTCATTACGTGGTACAATCTTTTGTTAAAAAAAAAAAAAAAAAAGGAGAAAAAAGCTCCCAAATTTCAAAAGCTTAGGTGAGAAGGGAAAATAAAACCAAACTAACTTTCTATAGGGTTTTTACACCATCTCCAAGGCACCAAACAATGCTGCTGGTGGGTGAGCTGTCTGCAGGTTCAGTGATGCTGTCTGAGCCTGGGCTCACTTCAGTGTTCTCCAAGGCATGTTAGAGTGGGGATTTTTGTGGGTTTTGGTTGCATTTGGTATGTTTTTCTGGTGGGTTGGGTTTTTTTTCAGGGTGATGGTGACGTGAATAGTATTTTCATAGGATTTCACTGCAAGACAACCCAAATCATCTTCAGACTGTGGTGGATGACAGGCTCAATAAAGAACCCAGAAGTATGCTGAGCATCTAAGATAATCATTAAGCTGAAAATTTAAACAAGCTGCAGAAGAGTGAGAGTGTTGATGTGATTTATAGAGTGCTTTATGACTAACTGGCTGTTCCCCTCCACAGCATCGAGGGCGAGTATGTTCCCGTGGCCGGCGACGAGGTCACCTACAAGATGTGCACCATCCCCCCGAAGAACGAGAAGCTGCAGGCAGTGGAGGTGGTGATTACCCATCTGGCTCCTGGCACCAAGCACGAGACCTGGTCGGGGCACGTTGTCAGCTCCTGAGGGCTGTGGGGGCTGTGTGGTCACTGCTCCTGCCCTAAGGATATTGCGTGTGCTGTGCAGGAGGAAATCCTGCAGTGTCAATAGAGCAGAAACAGGCCAAAAATCACCATTTTTTTACCCCTGGCCTGATTAAAAAAAAACCCTAAAAAAAAAAAAAAATCAACAAAAAAAAAAAAGGCAACTCAAATGCTGATGAAAAAATCTAGCGTAATGTGTTTACAAAAAGTGTATTTTAAAGAGACCTAGTTTGTGTGCTTGGTGGAGGAAGGGAGATTTGGTTTTCTTTTACCTTGTGAATTGACTCCAGGCCATGCCCAGGGGGAGCAGGGAGAGGTTTGCAGGAGAGCTCTGGCTCCTCCAGCAGAGGCACAACTTGGATTCTGGCACAGTGTGAGCTCTGTGTTCCCTTAAGCTGCTCATCCCCAGGGCCACAGTGCTCTTACTGCTGCTGACAGTGCCTGAATGCCTTGGCGTGAGAGACAGAGAGAGGTGTTCACTGCTGGGACTGGATTTCCTCGTGGAAGGAAGGTCCAGGCAGAGCAGCTGCCACAGGGAGGACAGTTAGGCTGTCGTGTGCCCCAGCTGCAAACGCTGTGCAAACTGTTGTGGTTGGAAAGCCAGGATTGTTTGTGAAGTTACTTAGGTGCCTTGATGGTTGATTAGCAACAGATTTTATAGGCCAGTGTTAAAAAAAAGTAAATCCCAACCCAAGATTTAAAAAAATTTGCTTTGAGGTAAGTGGTAAGAAACTGTAGAGTAGTGGATACTTCACAGCTCTGACTGTGTGTGACTTAGGCAAATCTGAGAAGTGCACAGGGTGGGCTCTGCCCTGGAGTGCACTGGGCAGGCAGGGTCACTGCACCCCTGAGCAGCAAGCTGTGAGAGTTACTGAACAGGCTCAGCACTTGGTGAAGTAGATTCTGCATCTGTTTCCCTGGAAAACTTGCTTGGTAGGATGTGGTAGGGTCAGCTTTCCCCAACTTTTCCTCATGTAGTTGTAGTGCAACTAAATTAGTTCTGTTCCTGTTTGCCTTTTACCTCTTCTTTTCCAATGAAGCATTTCTCTCGACTCTGTTCCTAACAGTGCATTTTTATTGACTTTGCAAATAAAAAGATGAATAAAAGAGATGGCTCCTGTCAGCTGTGTGGGACAGAAACTTCAGCTGCCTGTTTGCAGGTTTACCACTGTCACGACACGTCCTGAGACTTGCACAGCAGTTGATCTGCTCCAAGCTGTGATGTGGGGTGAGTGCAGGTGTGTGGTTAGTGACTGCTGTGCTGCCTTGGTTTACCTTAGCTGTACCTGTGTTACACTGTACCCTGTACTGGGGTTTGGTGTTGGTGACCCAGAAGCCTTGGCAGTGGTGGATTTATCACTGTGCAGCCTGTTGGAGTCTCACCCACTACTTCCCTCACAATAAATACAACCATTACAGTGCTTTAACATGTCTTCAGTGCTCCCTGGGCAGCTGTGGTGAGCAGCAGGACAGGGGAGGAGAATGCAGGTGTCTGCACACACACACCTCTATGGGGATGCTTAAGTCACAGAAAACACTTTAACACCAACTGACAACTGGCACTGCCAGACCAATTAGGGACTAATTTAACAAGTTTTCTAGCTGTTTATTAGGTTGGTGTAGAACACATCCTCTGACTTCTCTAAGTACATTTATTTTTCACTATATACAATTTAGTCCTAGCTGTTATTTATATTAACATAGTGAGGGAGCAGGGAAGGAAAGCAAAGCCTGGTGATTTCTACCAAGGCATGGGTAGGGTGCTAGAAGCCAGAACAATTTGGATGCATGAGGTGCATTACAGCTCCATCTCCATCTCTGTAAGCTCTTTGGGTTGGTACAGGGAGCATGTTCTCCCCTTTTTCTGTGCAAGTGTCATATAAACCTGGAACTGGAAGGACTCAGGTCACTCTGTGCCCAGACAGGCAGCACATCACAGCTCTGCTGTAAGAACTTTGTTTGCCAACGTGACCAACCTGAAACAGTCATTTTTCACAATAAAATGAGACTTTGTTCTCCATCACCCAATCAAACTGTTCAGACACAAGATACTTTCCTAACACCAGATGAGAAAAGGAACACTAACAGTCACAGAGACTATCAGGTGTTAACTTGCATTTTATAGTTTAGGTCATTTTCTTAGAGCTAAAATCTCATCTACCATTAATGTCCTGCCAGAAAAATCAAGAGAGTGACCAGAAAGTGACAAATATATTTTGCTATTGTGTTTAAGTTAATTCATTTTTACAATTTGTAAATATTTTGGGGTTTAAACAGTCTGCAAGAGAGTATTTAAAAATTAGGGATGAAGCCTTGCAGGCCAATTTGGAGACCATAAATCACCTAGAGGCAGATTATGCCACCACTTCTGCTCTAGAGTGTAAGTAATTACTTAAGGAAGTTTACTGATGACTAAAAAAAACCAACAAAAAATTATAACCAACCTAAAACCCACAGCCAAACAAAGAGAAAACAAAGTACTTGTGCAAAAGGAAATGGTAACAGGATGGTGCTAAAGGAGCTCTTCAGCTAAAGTATCACCTTCAGTAAGGACTGACCTGCAAAGCACCAGCTCACGACCAAGTCCAAAACCCAACACACAATGATGATGATGCTCCAAGTTATTAGGGTGTCTTCTAAGTGTGAATTCCAGAAGCCTCTTCACAGGTTCTCCTCGTGTCCTGTGGGGATGTCACACTGTGGCCTTGTGCTCTGGAGTCTGTGTCACTCCCCGCCCGGAAGCAGAAGAGGATTCAGTTTTATTTTTGTGACTGTATGTTAAGTTAAAGGGACACAAAAAGGAAAATACAAGAAGAAGAGACTTTTCCACAAGGGACAGGACAGGTCACTGGAGTGACAGGCTCAGGGAACAGCAGCAGTGCCACCTGTGTGAGTAGAGCCCCAAAAGCTGCAGCTCTGTGCATTGCAGGAAGCAGAGACTGAATTCCTGCCGCTGTTTGCTGTGCTGCTTTCCCAGGGTCAGCAGCAGCTCCTGGTACTTCCACACTGGAAATGCTGCACTGCCACTTACAGGGTCTAAAATGAACTGTCCTAAACTCTGTGCCAGAGGGACAGGTGATTGCTTTCGCAGCTGGTGTCAAGAGGAGAAAAAACCCTTTAATTTGAAGCTTGTCTTTTTCTTATAAAACGTCACCTTTCAAAATCTATAGAGTTCTTTGTAACTTAGGAGTTTTACAACTCCAAGTTCTTTAAAAAACTAAGCCTTTTCTTATAGATTTTACCCTGACACTATCCCTCGGCCATATCCAGACAGCTTTAATTGCACCCAAGGCCTTTGTGCTTGTACTGCCCTCAATGGCTCCTGTCAGGTCTCTGCTCAGGATTTTCAAAGGCCTCTGATTTGCCCTGCAGAGCTCTGTCCAAGGGACAGGGACTACCTTGGTCCCCAGAGTGGAGACAAACAGAGTGAGGAGCAAAGGAACAGTATTCAATTAAATGGGAAACAAATGTGTGTAATTAGCACCAGCCAATAAGCATCAACCTACACTAAGCAAACAGGACCATCCGTGTCACACAGACAGGTCACCCAGGGTTTTAACAGACCCACAGAAGTTCAATCAACAAACAACCTCTAGTAGGTCTGTTAGAACCCTGAGCTCCCCTCAGGAAGCTGAAGGAAAACCTACCCCAGGGCTCTCCCCCAGCAGCACTCAGCCAGTTAAAGGTGGACACAGCTTATTACCCCAACTTCAGCTTTTGCCAGGCATAAGGTTAGAACCTACAGCCCTAACAGCAGCTCTGAAACGAATACAACAAACTCAGGTACTCACTGGCACAGCCTTGTCCCCAAAGGAATAAATCATCTTGTATCCAGCACTGGCAACAACTCCTGTCCCAGCCAGCCAGGAACACAGTGACGCTTATCTGCTCCCTGGAGAGAGAGAGCAGACAGGTTTGAGTGTAAGGACACGTTTCTGAGGGGAGACTAAGCGACAAAACCTAAGCTGGGTAAGAGTTTAGGGAGAAAGAACTTTGCAGAAGCTGCAGAGTATTCTCGGCTCTTTTCGGCCCCGCTCGG